CTGTTGATCATTGAACCCACCAGCCAAGCCGTTATAGCCATTACGTTCGCAAACTACCTGGTACAACCACTGTTCCCAACTTGTGAGCCCCCATACACAGCATCCCGCCTCGTCGCTGCTGCATGCATATGTAAGTACTTTAAATCGTGCGATATCCCTCTGTTATTTGCTCATGTCCTTGTTGGTTAATGTGTGAAGTTTTTCCTCCCTCCTCAGGTTTACTGACATTCATAAACTCTGCTTATGTAAAGTGGGGCACCCGTGTACAGGACATCTTTACCTATGCAAAGGTGGCAGCGCTCATTGTCATTATCATTACTGGTATTGTCAAGCTGTGCCAGGGTAAGTAGAGTTATGGCATAACTGTGATAGCATACTAACACCTCAATGTCCAGATAGCAGACCCAACATACCACAAAACCTATCCTGGATGACACCGTTACTAATCAATGTCATTTGCTTTTTCCTCTCATGTCTATCTCTAAGGGTTAGAAAGCTGGACAGAGAGACCAGGCAAAACTAAAGCAATGGCTCAACCCGAAAAATTATAAACAAAAGTCAAGAAAAACAGCATCGTAGCAGTGTTACTCCAACATGCTGCTTCCCTAAGCAGGGCAGTTCTATTATATGACTGTAATTATAAACAACTCTGTAATTTTAAGTTTATAATTCTATCCATCCATTATCATACGTGCTCAACCCATCGTCTGTTGACTGCTGAAGAGAGGTAACAGCATCCTTTGTGATCCTAAGCATGTATGATAATGGATGGATGCATGGAAAAATAACAATGGTGTTGAAAAGCATATGTTACTAATTAATACAAGTGGTAACCATGGCCCAGGATGTATCTGTGAACACCTAAAACCAAACACTAATTTATTGTCACTTATTTAACAAATTATATTTTTTCGGTCAAGTTGATTCTAATTTAAATGGCTAGTTTTTGGCTAACTGTAGTGAAAAGGCTGTAATAGGTATAAATTGAGATTTTTTTATGCAAACTAGCAAAATTATGGAAACTTGTGCATAACTCAACTCAAAGTGTTATGTTCAGAATCACATAAACAAATACAGGAGGGCTTGTTCTCTTTAGGGAAAAGAAGGTTTTATCTTGGCAATCTTCCCAAACAAGCCAAGCCAGTTTGCTTTCTTTTTCTCCTGCACTGGTGCAGTCTCCAACTGTGACATTTAACAAGCCTCACTAAAGTCTAAGATGCAATTTGCTTGTGTTTTATACATTTACAGTCAGACCTAGTCAGCTTTTGGAAGACAGTGACTTGACATTCATTCTTACTGCAAACCTTAATCAGGTTACCAATAGAAGTCGTGACCTGCCTTATGTCCACAATGTGATGACAGTTACTTATTTGGATAGAGTTGAAAACGGCTTCCTTGGTTTTTCAGGCTACACAGACAACTTCAAGTCATCCTTCCAGGGCTCGTCCACAGACCCCGGTGATATTGCTCTGGCCTTGTACTCGGCACTCTTCTCATATTCCGGCTGGGACACACTCAACTTTGTAACAGAAGAGATCAAAAACCCAGAGAGGTCTTTTTTTTTTTTTCAATTCTTTGTCATCCATTCAGAAAGAATTAAGTCTGAACATTTCTAAATGTTATAGGAACCTACCGCTGTCCATTGCCATCTCCATGCCCATTGTCACCATCATCTACATTCTCACCAACGTGGCCTACTATGCTGTTCTGGATGGCAGTGCCATACTGGCCAGCGATGCTGTGGCGGTGGTGAGCTAACAGTCTGCGTCTGATCAGGACATAGTTATGGAAATGAGAATATTTTCATAATGTTACCTTCATGTGTTCTCCACAGACGTTTGCAGATCACACGCTGGGTGTCATGAACTGGATCATCCCCATTGCTGTAGCGCTATCCTGTTATGGAGGCCTAAATGCTTCCATTATAGCTGCTTCAAGGTACTGCACATTTATCCACTCATAAACATCAAGTAAAAACAAACAACATTATAGATATGTTGGCATTAAAACTATTCGTGTTTGTTGTGTCCAGGTTGTTCTTTGTAGGGTCCCGGGAGGGTCACCTTCCAGATGCTCTGTCCATGATCCATATTCAAAGATTCACTCCAATCCCTGCGCTGATTTTCAACGTAAGAGAAAAAAATCAACCTTAAATTAATCTGAATGGTAAAAGCACAGGGAAGTTAGACTTTGGAGGATTTGGTGACACCTAGTGGCAGAAATATATCACTGCACCTGTTTGAAACGTTGCTGAAGCTGAAAATGCCATCTTAGAGCACTTTCCAATTCCAATAAAACAAAATATTCCCCACTTAGTTTTGAAATGGATGAAAATAGTTTTTTGTCTTAGAAGAAAAAACAAAACAACAAAACAAGCAAACTATGAATGTTTCTTACTATTTTATGCTATTATTGCTTCCAAATGTCTTTTCCTACTTTTAGTATGGCAGTAGATGGACATTTTTGCATTTACTGATGAGATATTTGGTATGAAAAGTCTCACAAGCATTGTTGTACACTGTTGGAAATAAACAAGGGATTTTAAGGACATTTTTTGTCTGTTGATTGTGATTAAATATCTCCAGCTGAAACATTTCCTGTTTCTTTCTTTTTTTTCGTTCTTCCCCTGCCTGCCCAGTGTATCATGTCGCTGATCTACCTCACAGTGGAAGACGTCTTCCAACTCATCAACTACTACAGCTTCAGCTACTGGTTCTTCATGGGTCTGTCTGTCGCCGGGCAGATCTACCTTCGCTGGAAGCAGCCTGACAGACCCAGACCTCTCAAAGTAACATTATTGACTCATTTATCTAAATTGGGGTTGATTAGAAGAGAGGAGATGTGATTAAAGCAGAATCTGGTTGAACTAATCTATATAAAAACAACACAAACAAGATTTTTCAGTTTAGTTTAAAAACAGTTATGTGATTAAAGCCGAGTGCTTTGACATGTTTTCTTACAAAAATAATATTCTTACTCTTGCCCCCCTCCCTCCCCTGTTTTGCCCTTCTGTAGCTCACACTGTTTTACCCCGTGGTGTTCTGCCTGTGTGCTGTCTTCCTGGTGGCAGTTCCTCTGTACAGCGACACCCTGAACTCCCTGATCGGGATCGCAATCGCCCTGTCTGGTGTTCCCGTCTACTTCCTGGGCGTCTATCTGCCGGAGTCCAAAAGACCTCCGATTATCATCAAGCTGCTGCGTGAGTACGCCACACATCCTGGGAGGTTTTACAACTCATTCATGAGCAACAAAATTTGACTTTTTTGACAAAAAACATGACAGAGTTTATTTTTGTAAAGTAAAATTGATTTCTATAAAAAAAAGAGTTGTATAGTAAAAAAGAGTAATGTAAAATAAACGATTATATAAATATTCAACACCTAATTCAACAGAGGTCCAGCCGAATGGTGTTAGTGGTCTGACCACGTGTGGAGTAGATGTCACCTGAGTGAAGTGCCGGTGGCAGTAACTGCGTTTTCCATCGACCTTAAAATTGTGCAAATTGAAATTATGAAAATAAATGCACTAAATGGAAAAATGCTAAAAAAGTGCGAGGATGAGATGGTTTTTCAGCTGTATCAAAATTAATGTATTTGGTAAAACTGCAACGGAAACAAATTTTTTGCATCATGCAAGTCATGTGATCAAGAACCAGAGTCTTTGGTTGCCACCATAGAGACAAAGATGACAGGAAGTGATTGGCGATGTATATTTTTTTAATGACATATCACTTGCACTAACTTATTCACTTGATTTTAAATGTTTCTTATTTAACGGAAACACTTTTTTTTATTAAAAACAAAAAGTTGATCATGATTGATTTGTAAAAGCAATAGAAGGCTAAAACATCCAATTGTAGGCACTGTAAGATATTAGAATATCTCAATATGTCTGGTCTGCTAACGTGTCTTCCTGCAGGTTCTCTGACTTTCTTCACCCAGTACACCTGCTTCTGCGTCCTGACAGAGACGGACAAAAGCCAGTAGCCCATTTCTTCCAGACAGGAAACTCTGCTGGGAAACAAGCAGCTCTCATCTTTTGAATTGTTCACCATGCTGCTGCCACGCACTGCAAATGCTGCCATATGCAGATTTATGTAGGGAGAAACATACAGCATAATGACCCGTTATGACTTACTACAATCACACTGGTGGCTGAATTTTCTAGGAACATAGTGCCATTTTATAGCACACCAAAAAAAACTTGAAAATATAAAACACTACTCTGGTTATGTTTTTGATGAAGAACTGACCTGATATAAAGCTAAAAAAGACAAATATGTATTAAATATAAAGAACTGCTGAAAACTGTTACACTGCCTTGCGGAAGTTTTCACACCTTTCACAAACTGATAACAGTCACATTAGCTGTCATTTCTCCCAAAATTCAAATTAAATGTTTGTGGTTGTGAAGTGAAACGTGAAAAAAAGTAAAGGCAATTTCTACTATAGCAAGGCAATGAGTGGGAAAGAAATTAGGGGAAATTGTCCAAAAGGTAAAATCATACAGGTACTTTTCTATTGTTTAGCATATTGCTGCTTCAGAAGTCTCTTCCTTTTATATTGAATGGCTGGTTTCACTATTCCTGCCTTTAATCATGTAGTATTTGCACTTTATTCTGAAATAAACTTTCAAAAATCTTTTACCAAAGCCGTTTGTTCTTCATGTACAGAAACAAAAACAGACTCATTTATTTTCAAAGCTTTCTTTGTTTACACATCTACATATTTACAGAAACTTTCAATTTCAACAAGCATTCCAGAAACGTTCCAAACTCCAAACTGGATTTTTTTTTTTATCCAAACCACAAACTCACACATCCACAACAGAAAGTTACGCACCAGCCTTTCACATTATGCAGAAAACAAAACAAAAAAAATCTAGTTTATGTATGCGCTACCATGCACAGAATGCAAACACCCTAAAAACTGCAACCACACACACACACACACACACACACGTCTGGAGACGACTCGCTAACAGAAGTATTGAACGGCACGAAGCGTACGAGGCATACCACACTAATGTGCAACGATTCACATGGAACAAACACCCACATACAGATTCACTCTAGCACAGCTTAAAAATAAAGACAGACGCTCTGGTTCCTTCTGGAAACGCCTTCCCTCCCTGAGCCTGTGTAGCAGAGAGACGACCGACCTGCAGGAAGCTTTCTGGAATCAGGACTAATGCTGCAGTACTTTGGCACACCACACCAACATTGGGAGATCTAAACTGTTGATAGTTTTTTTTTCTTCTTCTTTATTCCGTACTCTCTGCTACACAGAAGCTCATAGAGCGAAGCATCTTGAGGAAAAGGAAGCTGGAAAGTTGCGGTGCAGCAGTCAGTCAGAATCATATTTGTCTTCGTCATCGTCTTCGCCGCTGCAGCCCAGCTCCTGCAACACGTCTTTCTGGTAGCGCTGCCAGTTCCTCCTGCAGTAGGAGTGCTCCTCCTCCCAGTAGTCTGGACACAGAAAAACAAAAACATAACAGATGAACACAATCAAAACTATTCCAGATTGATACAAAGACATTAATTGACTCAGTCATTGTTCCCTGAATTGCTCTGACAGTTTTAAGTCAGTGGTAATGAGTCAGTCCACAGAAGATGTTTTGAGATCATTTTTTTTTTAAATTTTTTTTTTTTTTTTTTCAAATTTTACAAAAGCCCTTTATATATATTGTATTTAAGGTACTTTTTTATTCTGGTAGTAATCATCTCTGGATGTGACTGGTGAATGTGAGCTCAGCTGTTCAAAAATGTGATAAATCAGAGGAAATTGAACATTTAGTAAAGGTGCCAATTACAGTTCACCTTACAGCCAAGTCTGTTGGTCAGATATTTATCCCTTACACATTGTTTAAGAGTGCTTTATATTTACTCTAGCAGCAAATGATCTGAAACATTTAAATGCAACACATGTGGGTTCGACTCCAGGATCCTGTTGCCTCATTCTGTCATGCTCTTTGGCAATGACTACATTAAAGTTTGACATACTCGTCAGTGAATATAAAAGAAATCTAAAAATCAGAGGCCGGTTCTTTTATACACAACTGCATATTGTAACTTTATACAAACTGTAATGTGCAGAAGTAAAAAAGCAAAGGACTGATTGGAGCGCAATATCCATTAGCCATAAAGGCCACAACTGACTATGATGATAAAGTCTAAGAGTTGGGATGACAGATGAAAAAATTTAGTTATGAAAGAGTGGATTTATTTTGCAATATTCAACAATGTCACCTTTTTAGAAATGCTTAATATTCTGCAGCTTTAAAGAGTTAAACTCCGTCCCACAGCGCAGACAGAAAGGCTTTTTTTCCACAGCTACATTAGTAGATCCTCCATTTCTGGTTTAATGTCACCATAAACACCATTAGGTTCATGTTCATGTAAACAAATTTTCATTAGAAACAAAAAGTAAAAGCTGTCGGCACACAGGAGCAGAGCTGAGGTTCCATCATCTCAGCCTACCTCCATAGCGCTGCTCCCTGTCGCTGTCTGAACCACTGTCCTCATCAGGGTAGTCATTCCTCCAGTTGCTTTCTTCATTCTCGTCATCTTCATCATCATAGACCTCCTCTTCATGGACCACCAGATCTGGAACCTGAGGAGAAGCAGCGTTTATGTGGCAGCCTGGTGAAGGCTCAAATCTAAAATGTTCACATTTGGACTAAGGTTTGTGAATAAATAACGCTTCAAGGAGTTCTATTGTTAAAATAAAAAACTGATATCCTACAGATCTAAAACAATACTGGGTAATGTAACACCAATGACTCAGTAACAAAGGCAGCAGCAGGGAAAGCCCCTCTGCAGTAATTGAGCCCATTTCTTCAGTCACTCACTCAGATTTCAGCACTCATTCATCTGTCCGTCCATCCATCCACACACACCAGTTCTCCGTCGTCAGCATAGGCCCTGACAGACAGGATGTCCTGGATCCAGCCTGGTGTGACCGTTTCCTGGTAGTAAAGGTCATAAACGTAGTCGTCGTCGTGCTCCCGGTGCTCCGCCCCCGGCTTCTCCCCGGAGACGGCCAGCCGCTCCCGCAGCAGCTTGGTGTTGTTGCACAGAATCACTTCTGGGTCTGAAGGCAGCGTCTGGACAAACAGACAGAGTCAGCAGGAGCAGAGACAATGATGCAGTTTAACACAAATTAATCATTTGTGTTCTCCTCTAGGCTCACTTCTTTTAGTCCGGGTCACATAAAGGATTCAATAAAGCATTCTAACGGCGCAAGTTGATGACTGTTGTCATGGTTTTGTTAAATTGGTAAAACTTGATAAAATATATATTAAAAAAAAGTATTACTACTGAAAGTGAATTGATAAACTGAATCTAATCATTAGCAGTAGTAATATGACAAATATATAGAAAAAATTTTAAGTTAGGGTGGGAACTTATAAGAATTTTTATTGTCAGGATAAATTCCAATTAATATAAAAGAAAAACAATCCATATTGCCTGGTTTGTTAATGTTACAGTTTTCTCCACCATTTGTTCAACAAAAGTATTGATAAATACTAATCCATTTGAAAATGTGATTAAACGCGGTTAATGTGTTTAGTTTAGTGATTCAAATCAAATGTCTTCATGTAACTGGTGTTTTCTGTTCCAATGGAAATGTTTTGTTTGTGGAGTTGACTGCTGCCATAAAGTTACATAAAAAAGGATTAAATAGTTCTTATCACATTAATACCACAACATATTGTGATAAAACTTCATGTCAATGTCATCCACGCCTAGTATGATGCTACTACTGTAATCATAAAATAAAGTACAAGGAATATTCTGTTGACAAGTAGAAATTGGTTTAAAACCTTAAATATTAGCAAATAGAAACACAACCATAAGCTATATGGTTATGGGTTAGGGTGCTAATTATCTGGAGTATTGTGGTTTAATTCAACATATCTCCACCATGACTGTTCAGGTCTCATCTTTTGTAAAGCAGTTTAAGTATTTAAACTTAAACTCCTCCCCACCTTCCTCAGTGGTTTGTCTGGATCCTCCTCGTCCTCCTGGACCAGATCCACCACCTGGATTTCTCCCAGACTGCACCGTTTGGCCGTCCTGCTGTCCTCTCCATCCTCTGAGGCTTCAGTCCGGGGGGTCTCCTGCTCGGCGGGCCGCAGCAGCCCCGTGCGGTGGCTGGACAGGATTCTGTAGCGTTCCTCCCTGCGGGTGCTCCACTTGGTGCTGCGCAGGTCGCCCATTATCCGCTGGGAGCTGGAGGCGGACGGGCGCAGGGCATGGGCTGCGCGGGGCCGGGCCAGGGCCTGCCGGACCTGGGTCTGGACCGGAGCATCCTGACGAGAAGAGGGGGACACGTGTTGTTACCATAGCAACAAGTGTAAATAAATAAATAAATAAAAAAAAACAATTTATACATACATACACACACATACATAAATAAAGAAAACCTAGACATGGTCCTTTATGTTCTGCAAAGAGAGACTGATGTTCAGTTCACATGAACAAAACTAGGGATGCACTGATTTACTTTTAATTTCTGATACCTATCTGATAAAAAAATAAAAAATAAAAAAAACTAAACACAGCAGAACTCATTTTAAATGTTTCTCTTTTTTTCATACTTAATTACAAATTTATTTGATAACCTTGCACCAGTACAGCACACTGAAATACACCAACAGCTTCACAAGCTTGGTCAAAAATGGAAAAACAACTTTAATTTGTTCAGTCAGTGAAATTAGGAGTAGAACAGCCAATGGAAAACAAATAATAAAACTGAAACTGACAAAAACAATAGACTGACTATCTTGGTCAAATATAGAAAAAAACCCAGAAACAAACTTGTGCACTCGCAGTAGTGCGAGTGCACAAACTCTAGAATAGTAGAATACATAAAAACAAAACATCAAATAATATTTATGACCACAGTGAGTGGAAGTAAAATTGTGTTACATAAAAATGTATTTCTTGTCAAAATGTTTAATAAAAAAAAGCTTTCTGATAATATATTTTGTATTTATATGCTTATAATTACAGGCTAGCTTCCCGCAACATTAAATGTTCAACGTCAACAAAACGAGCACTTCCTCGGTTAGCATAGCACATAGGCTAGCGACTACGCTATGCTAACCAACAGCAGAGCGGGCTTTGTCTCCAAACACCTTACAGCTTGTTCGCTATGATGGCACACTTACTAATGGCCACTCAGCCACGACATCAGCTCTGCGTTTGTACTGTCCACTAACGGCGACTCCATATTCACAGAGCGGCCCGTGTCATGCCCACCACCAGCTGCGTGTATAGCCTGGGCTAACTGCGTGGTCACCGCGGCGGGCCTCTCACCTGGGTCGCTACAGTCGCCACGAGTTTGAACACAGAGTTCTCCACCTCAGCTTCGTCTGGCTCCGGTACCGTCTCCCCCGAGCTCTGGGACGACTCGGGCCGGATACGCTTGCACGCCAGCAACAAAGCATCTGCGGGGTCTGTCCCCCTTTTTCTTTTCACTCGCAGAATTGTCGTGTTCGGGTCCATGATAGCCTTCAGTCCTCTAGCGTCTGCTTGTCTGTCTGCTCTGGTTTGTGTCTGGCACTCAAAAGATCAGAAGGATCGCGAGACCTGTCACGCTGATTCTTCTTCTCCGTTGTGTTCCTTTTCTTGATTTTTATTGGCGGTTGTCAAAAAACCTTAAGTGTTCATTACCGCCATCTACTGGCACGGGGTGTGGTTCAAAATGTCTTAGTATTATCATATTCTATTGATCAATTTTATTTTTCATTCCTTCTTGAAAATAGATTATTTATCTTCAGTTTGCATCTTGTAAAATCCATGGTGGTCTCCGTTGTGTTTAGTGGGCCGGAAGCATGTATGGGGCATTGCTGATATCTGCAGTCCTTTTTTATTTATGTTAATATGCTCCAAGTTAAAAAGACTGTGAGACATGTTTTACTACTCAGGTTTTTGTTTCTAAAATGCGTGATAGTGTTTCTGCTTTAGTTCAACTCTCAGAATGTAAAAGCGTGTGCATTAAAAAAAAAACAACAATCAAACAATCTCTCTATGTTTATGTCCCCACTTCAGTACAGCTGATTCAAATGATTACCTCGCAGCATGCTTCCAATTGCTGCAGCAGCTCGTTAATCCCCTGTTTGTTTAGTCCAGGTGTGCAGCAGCCGGGAAACGCCTCACTCTGAGGACCAGGGTTGTGAACCTCTGCTCTAGTTGAGGTTCACATAACTACTGAAAGTCAGTTTGACATAGATATGTGGATCTCTATCAATACTGATGTATATCTAGCTGAGACATGCCATTTCATAGATTCAAGCACGTCCTTGCATTCTGCTGTTTTAGTGGTGCTGCATTTGCCTAACGCACCTACTGCTAATAATTTGTCACAAGGAACAGCAGCGCTCATGTCAGAGTGGGGAATCACTCACAAAGTTACTTGCTTTATGACTGATGGGGCAGTATGTATGGCAAAGGAAGCTCGCTTGCATCACACAAATTGTGAGGCTCATACTTTAAAATTAGACATCAAAAACGCTGTTGATCACAATGCCATGCTGTCTGACATCTAGACAAACCATAGGAAGAGTGGGTTATTTAAGAGCAGGAGCAGTGAAAACGATAGATCCTAATACTAATACTTTTAATATCGGAGCAAGACCTAGAGAAACTCCAAGAACAAACTTAGAAAGTCAGAACAAGAATCTAGAGAAACCCCTATTGGTTTATAACTTAAGGACTACTAATTCTTATTAAACACAGGGAACCAATATGTAGTTTCATAATTTTACTGTTCGTTTATCCAGAGAAACTCCTATTTATTTTACTTTTTACTTTTTTGTTGCTTTGTTGTTTGTATTTCCTCTAACTCATGTAAAGCACTTTGAATTGCCTTGTTGCTGAAAATGTGCTGTATAAATAACAATACCTTATCTTACCTTAGGTCATGGCATGCTTATCATCTTCAAACAGTTTCTTCACCACATGGTTGCGTTGGTTTTGTGGCTGATGTGCACATTCTAACTTTAACAGAACACTATGACGGCTGACATTTATACTTGCACGTTAATGGTTTGCTGTTTCAACATTTTTTACAGGGGCATCGAAATGTGCTAGAGTAGGATTCAACTTTGGCTATGAATAGTTATCATAATTGCCTACGGGAATTCTTAATAAAACCAGTAAGTAAAAAATTACCAAGTCTCTTAAAATAGATAAATAAATATACATACAATATAGCAAAAGTGTTCGGTCTCAGTTACTATTTATCATACCTGTCAGATAAGGCCTTGGTTTTAAAATAATAATAGATTAATGGATAGGTCCATCACTCACAAAGTTACTTGCTTTATGACTGATGGGGCAGTATGTATGTTACCTGAACAGCAGCATGCTACACCTGTGCATGAAATAAACACATACAATTTCACTCAATTATACAAGAGTTTATTAACAAAATGAATTCATCTTCACAGTTAAAATATTTTATAAAAGGAACTCACTAAGCTAGCAACGCACACAACTAAAACTACTGAGAAAGAGATACAATATTGAAACAAACCCTAGAAGTAAAAACAGTAAAAAACAGGATTTAAAAATAGAAGCAATAAAATGCTGCAATGATGTCATAGTTCAGTCTGAAGAATCCTCAAAGACCAACAATTGTATTGAAATGTGCTGATCGCTCATGATGAAGTCTTGGATGATTTCTTTTAGATTTTTCCCAGATATCATGCAGCAGTGTGTTTTAGCTGCTGCCTCCTATTACATTCACAGCCACTCCTATATTTATTTAATGTGTTGTGAAACTATGACATTATTTCTATTTTTGCTAGTTGGTTAGAAGTAAACCAACTGTAGTCTACGGAAACTTCTGCAATATGAACAAAGAAACAGCTAATCTTTATGTTGTTTGGCAAACAGAATTAAATTTGCTACCAGTAACTGAGCTACAACATGCAAGATGGTGAGAAAACAGGTTATGTGTCTTTTAATGCAAGTTAAAGAAACAACTTAGTGAGATCAAGAAAGATGAACAGGCTGATGAAAGCAAAGGGGGCAGAGAGCACCGATCCAGAGCAGGCGTTGTGGCTGAGGTTCACAGCATGATGGTCAATCACACTCTGAGCTTCATTCTGGACAGAGGAAAAACAGGGATGATCTGAAATGAATTTTACACCAGTTCTCCAGAGATGTTCAACTAAACCATTGATAACCTCTGGATCTATTGGCAGCACTTTCACCTCTTTGGAAGAGGCGGACGCAATCTTAACAAACATGGAATAAGGCTGCTCACTGCAAACATTTTTCATTTTATCAACAAGAACAACAATGTGACCATCGCTTCAGAAGAACAGGCTCAAGGATGTCTGACTAGGATGGAACCCTCCGCGTATCAGAAGCAAAGTGTCCCAAAACAAACTGATAAACATCGACTGGGGACAGAATGACTGGTTCTCCTCCTCCTTCCCTCCTCCCTCTCTACTCCTACACTCACTCACAAGATACCTATGAAGAAATGTCTTCCGGACCAGAGTTTCTCAAATTTACGGATGGAATGGATCAACAGGTTCGCCTCGACACGACTCTCCTTAGCGCTAACATAGTAGATCTCACTTCATCTAAGCCACCTGCCTCTGACTTCCCAGAGGATCCAGAACTCTGCCTTTCTGGGGTCTGAGTTCAGGGTCCAGATATCATCTTTACACCCGTCTTCCTCCAGAATGTGTCTGGCCCCCCAGCACCGCATAACAGGACAATACCTGTCCAGATCACTACAAGAAAAGTTACAAAAAACAGAAATACAAAATACAGTGGTCTCAATTCAAACCTCAGACTGAAGAACTTTCAGTCCCCAAGTCACTTAAACTGGCTCTTTTAAATACCAGATCTCTCTGGTATTAATGATTAATTAATGATTTCATCACCGAGCATAATATTGATGTTTTATTTCTGACAGAAACATGGTTGAATGACAATAATGAACCAATCGTACTAATTTAATCAGCGCATCCTTCGTACAATTTTTAAGTGAGAATAGAAAACACAAAAAAGGAGGAGGCGTGGCTTCAATATTTAAGAATACCATAAATTGTAGTAAAATCTCTTTGGGTAATTTCACATCTTTTGAGTATCTTGGAATTGATGTAAAAGGCCACAAACAAACTTTGACATTAACTTTATACAAAACTCCAACATATATGGAAAATTTCTTTACGGACTTGAATGAACTTCTATCTCTCATATGTATTGATTATGATTGTTTGATAATTATCAATTATAATTGTCGGTGATTTCAACATTCATGTTGACAACCCCCAAGACCGAGGGGCAAAAAATATCCTTAATATATTGGAGAGTTTTGGTTTAACACAACATGTCAAACAAGCAACACACACTCATAGACACACACTGGACTTGGTTATCAGTAAGGGTGTGAATATTTCCAATGTTTCTGTAACTGATTGAGCCTGTTGGATCACTTCCTGTTATCTTTGAATGTTCTTTATCCGTTAACCCACTTGTACAAAAAGCTACTATTACAAAATGTACTTTCACAGAAAACGCAGCAGAGACATTTAATCAAATCTACTCTTCTTCCTCACCCTTAAGCTATAATGATGTAGATAAGTTGGTAGATGATTTTCAGTGCAAACTTTCAGATATCATTGATTACATTGCCCCCATTAAAGTGAAGGTTGTGTCTGGTAGGAAGAAATCTCCATGGAGAAATGCACAAACAGTTCAATCTGCAAGACAACTCTGCCGTAGGGCCGAACGGAAATGGCGTAAAACTCAACTGCACGTTTATTATGACGTCTATAAAGAAAGACTACATAACTATCACACAACACTAAAACATGCAAGAGAGGTTTTCTTTGCAGATGTCATAAACAAAACCATTAACAATGTTCAAGCTTTATTTGCTACTGTTGACAGGCTCACAAACCCTCCTATGATGTCACCGCCTGAACTTCAATCTAATGCCGCCTGCAACAAGTTTTCCAGTTACTTTTCAGAGAAAATGCAAAAGATCAGAGGATTAATCTGCACATCCACTCCAAAGCCAATACCAATGCTATGCCCAAACAAAACAAATGAAGGAGAAATTACCCAATTTCAACTACTTCATTATAAAACCCTTGAAGAAATTATAAGTCAATTAAGCTCCAGTTCCTGCTGTCTGGATGTCCTACCCACACATTTCTTAAAGAAAGTCCTGCCTGTTGTTGGAAATGATCTTATCCAAATAGTAAACTCATCGCTCTCTTCAGGTGTTTTCCCCCAGACTTTGAAAACAGCAGTTATCAAACCACTGATAAAAAAGAACAATCTAGACAAATCACTACTGCAGAATTACAGGCTCCAACTCCAACTCCAATTACTCCAACCTCCCATTCATCAGCAAAATTATTTAAAAAGCAGTTTTTAAACATTTAAATAACTTCCTAACAATAATGCATCGCTTTGACTCCTTCCTTCCAGTCTGGTTTTCGTGCTCACCACAGGACAGAGACGGCCTTTGTAACAGTGTTCAATGATATCCACATAAATACGGAGTGTGGGAGAACCACAGTGCTGGTTCTGTTGGACCTCAGTGCAGCTTTTGACACTGT